CCACCCCCCCCCCCCCCCCTCCCCACCCACAGAAGAGTCTGCAGGGGTGACGAGGCCCATGTTGCTCCTGCTACTGTTCTGCCCTCTAGCCAGGGCTGCCGATAGGGGGGTACAACTGGTTCTCCTCTACTGGGTCCAGGACCTATTGGACTTCCAACAGGGGAGGCCCAGGTTTGACTTGGAAGTAGTAGATCTCAGGCTTCCCCCAGCAGCTATCACAGGATCCATGTAAGGGAAAGCCGCTCATCTACCTAACTCACTGGCTGTCCCTAACTCTACAGTGATTGACAGCCAACCTCACTGGCCCTTGAGCTTATTGTTGGTCATTATGTGAGTGGAAGGAGGGAGTAGCAGACTTTCATTGGTCAGGGTAGCTGTCTTTAGCCGGTCACCTCATGTGCCTCTATCCTGGCAGCTCAGTGAGTGGCAGAGAGTGGCTGGGACTAGCAGAGCTGAGTCACCTCAGCCAGGGATGAGCGTGGCCCCTCTGAGTAATGGGAAATGGGATATGTAGTGTGGTCATCTCCCTAATTGGCTGTCCACCCCCTGATTTGCTTACCCAGTCGTAAGATGTTGTGTGGTCACCTCCTGTCATCCAGGCAGATGTCTGCACTGACATCTAGGGCGTGTTTATAATATGGTGTTATGGCAACATATTTAACATATGCAATGCAGTACCATTCATTCTAAAATGCACCTTTCAGCAAATGTGCATAACAGTGCAATAACATACAGTGTGATGCAAAAAAAATTCACTATCTTTTGTTATTGCAACGCACGTCTGCTCTAGGTTGCATTGTGTTGTGCCATTTGCACCCTCACATGTAACAGGCATTGTCACAACACCATAGTGCACACCAGCCCTAAATATCAGTGCAGACATCTGCTTAGCTGAAATGCATTTAACTTGCATTGGGGGGTCCCTTCAGGTAAATAAGTGAAGGGGTGGCCCTGTCAGGTAAACTGTACGGGGTCCCATTAATTTCAATGGCAGCCCTGCCTGTAGCCAAATGGGTGGAATATCAGGTCCACAGAAAGAGGAGTTCACAGTTTTATTGTAACCCAGTGCGCCCAAATAAAGAAGGGGAAACCTCTGGTGGTGTGTGTGTGGTAAGCCTTCCTAAGTGAAAAATGTGCTGGAAATGATGTGTCAATCTTTGGAGAGAGAGTAACCCCAAAAGCAGGGCCCACTATGTGTTTGTAGAAAGTCTTGCATCTGTTTAAAGATCTGTGTGCATGAGTCAAGCAAGCTGCTCATATAAATGTGGTAGTGGTGACCACTAAAGAGAGGGTGCAATTATGTAAAGGGTGCAATTTACGCTAGCAAGAGTGTTGGGTGAATCAGAAGTGGTCCCTAGAAACCTCAGAGATAGAGGTTTCACAGTCGGAAAGGGAATATGCGTGTTAAATAAAGAGCTTCAGGCTCATGATATAAAAATGTGATGGCCACCGTTTTAAAATGGTGCTGGGATGGTGGCTATTTGTCCCAGTGCCATTCTAAAACTGGACCCGGTCTCAGCAATTCTCTTGTGGCCTAGCCGGCATGAAAGCTGGAACCATTAGTGACAGTCGAGTTCCAGCACTAAGCCCAGGAGCTAAAACGATCAGCTCCTGGACATCCAATCTTTCTACGCAGCACTCTATAGGATAGCCTCTAGCAGATCAATGTAAGCACAATACTTCTGCATTGTGTTTATACTGGAAATAATGGGATGTTATGAGTGGCATTACAGCACTTCCTCCTAGTTAGAGGTTCAGGCAGAGCTGCTGTAGCTCTGTGCAACGTCTCCCTGCAGCCATAGATCGCAGCCAGCAATATTTAATTGATAATGTGTTGTGTATGGTTGTGTTGCTATAGAGCTACATGGGAGGGTCTGATCTCCACTGACCAGACCCAGAACCCCCACAAAGAAAAAAATCTGTATAAAATAGAAAAATAAAGTATACAGTGTGTGTGTGTGTTTTGTGTATCTCCTAAAAATGAGTATGAACAAATCCTCCCCAGATTAACCCCCAGGTCCCAACATTGATGTCCGTACCATGTATAGTGGTGGTAGTGTTTATAATACCTCCGGGTCCACCAGCACTGCTAATGGTGTTCACAGAATCCCTGCCAGGAATTTTAGAGCTTCCTAAAATGATGATGGGCGTGTCCTCTGATCCAAGGGGTATTTGGGCATCAGTCCTGGAAATGGCTGATGCTGGGTCTTCTTGCCAGCAAGCTACGGTAATTGCTTGTTTTATTTGTTGACCCAGATCAACCTAACTGCGCCTTTGCCTGCTGCCTGCCTACAACCTTCACTTGAACCTGACCATTCTTCTTATTGCCTGTTCCCGACCTCAGCTTGGACCCGACCATTCTCTAATCTTTCTCTGGTGTGTGATCTCCACATTGTAACCTCCTAGTGCTCAGCTCATTTTTTTGGTAGGGTAATCCTGAGGGTCATGACCTCGTACCAGTAGAGAAAGCATCTCCACCATCAGGAGCTCTAGTGAAAACCGTATGTTTGTAACAGGTAGGCCCTGCCAACAGTACAGCATGGTAGTTTGGGGAAGCATGTTCCACAATTTTGGAAACTCCAGTAAAGGGAGATTGAGTCTGGTAGTTCTAAAGCTTAGAAAAGGTAGCCCAGTGCTCTGAGGGGGAGCTAAAGGGAAGACCTGTTAGTAAAGAGTGCTTTAATCACCTCCTGTCTGCTGAACGTCCAGAAACTGCCATACAGGAGCCTTCTGGCAGGTGGTGGGCGGTTTAACATCCCTCGTGTCCGCGCCCCCTGGCGCACGAGCGGGAGACTGCCAGAATTTGAAACCGCCAGCGATGGCTGTTTACATACAAGCGGTCCGGCGTCTAAAGACGCCCGATCGCTTGTATGATCACCTCTCTGTGCCCCCTCTCCTTGCTGTCCCCGTTGCCACGATCCGGGACTAGCAGTGTGGCTCCGTGCACAGAGAATGGAGAGAGATCAGTACACGAACTCCCTCCAATCGCCTCTACGGTGTCAGAACGCAGGAAGTGATGTTTAATTACATCACTTCCGCAATCAGCTGTCACTCTGTGGCTACAGAAGCCGGAGAGAAGCTGGTGAAGCAGATCTCTGCTTCATCAGCTTCTTTGGGGGTCCGTAGGTGACATTACGGGTCTTGGAGACCTCTGATGTCTCCCTAAAGAGGACCTTTCACTGTAATTTGTTATCACATAGAGAGCGTCATAGCCCTCTATGTGATAACATTAAGTGTTAAAAAAAATTAGTCAAAAAATAAATAACATTTACACAAAAAAAAAAATGTTTTAAAGTCCCCCACCGCCACATAGATGCAAAAAGATGCAATAGGTGCGCCCCGATTGCACCCAATACGCCGCACTTGTTGGATATCATCGCAAATGTGTGAGGGACATTAATCACTGTTAACACTAAATTGATGAGGTAAAAGCTTTTAAAGTGTCGCCTATGGTCAATTTTGGGTGTGGTAGTTTTGCTATTTCGTGGGCATGCGCAATTTTAGGGCTTGACATGTTTGGTGTCTATTTACCCGATGTGACCCCATTTTTTATATTTTACCAAAACATTAGGTAATGTTTCCTATCATCATAAAGGGAAAACTTAAATTATTTTTATTTCATGTGCTTTTTTCATTATGTAGTAAAAAGTAAAAACCCCAGTGGTAATTAAATACCACCAAATGATGGCTTTATCTATCCCCCAAAAAATGGTATAAAATTAATTTCAGTACATGCGAGTCAAAGTACCGCAGCGCTGAATACTGACAAATGGCCTGGCCAGGAAGGTGGTGTAAACACCCCGGTCTTTAAGTGGTTAAGAATGTGCAGGATAGAATATCTTAAACCTTTTACCCCTTTCTGTGTTGCTAGTGGCAACGAACAAAGAGGAATTTGAGTAATTTAAAACTTTACCCCTTCAAAGCTGAATTAAAAGTAAAACTGTTATTGTAAATGCATTTGTAAATGCCTTGCTTGTAATATGGCTGATGTGACCAGGGCCGGCCTTTGGGGTGTTCGTTCTGTGCGGCCGCACAGGGCGCCATGGCAACAAGGGCGCCAGACGGCCGACACAGCTCGTCCTCAATTCTGCGCTGTCTATCTCCTGGGATCCCAGGAGAAAATGTCAGCTGAAGCCTGCGGCGGGGGACACAGGAGGGAGCGCTGCCTGCTGTCAGGATGGTCGAGCGGTGAGGAGGAGGAGAAGCTGCAGCTGTCAGGACGGCTGAGCGGTGAGGTAAACGGGGCAGCTGTCATCCTGTCAGTTTCAGGACAGCGGCTCTGCGTGTGGCCAAGCAGAGGATCGGTGATATTTACCAATCCTCTTTGTGCAGAACAAACACTGGAGTGATCAACTGATCACAGTATTATGTTTGTAAATAACTGGGGACACATAGTATTATGTGTCCCCAGTTATGAATGAACAGGAAGTGCTTTACATCACTTCCTGTTCATTCAATTTCTGAATGGGGAAGTAGCACTCACTATAGTCTTCTCCCCATTTAGAACCTGTTGATAGTAAATATTTTATTATTTCCAGTTTCTGAATGAATGGGAAGCCTCTGTACTGAGTGCTTCCCATTCATTTAGAACATATGTTGCAGAAAAAGAGATTGAGGACTTCCTGCCCTCAATTTCTTTTTCTATTTTAAAAAGTAAATGTCAAGGGTCTGTTTAGACTCCTAATATTTCCCTGAAGCCCCCCAACAGTAAAAAAAAAATTAAAATGTTATTAAAAAGTGTAAATTACCCCCCCACACACTAACAACAAACACACACACGTATTATTAAACAAACATGTGCAAAGACTAAAAAATAATTACAGATGAAATGAACGAAAACTAAAAACGTTTTTATTCGTTTCAACAAACAAAACAAATGTTTATGCTATTTTGGATTCAGCCAGTGGCGTGTTCTGGAGGCAGCGCGCATGGCGTCATATGACAACGCACGTGCACATCTTGGTGTATATCTAGGTATACACCAAGATGGCGCCTATATCGGCCTATGACGTCACCTGACGCCGCACATGCACGGCATCATGTGACCTCATGCTCCCCGCCTCCAAGATGGTGGCATGGATTCACAGAATGTTCCGGTGTCCAACATGGCCGCCGCACATTCTCAAATTATGTGCCTGAATAAATTTTTTCGTATATTCGGGCAAATCGTTATTCATTAATTTAACATGTAGTCTAGGTGTTGTGTGCTGTTTTTTATTTACTTTTCTAGATGCAGACCCTTTTTTTAAGTAGGTGCATGACAAGCTGACACTTTTATTTTTATAGACTCTATTTTAGTTTGACATTTATTGTTTGCCTGCTGTTGTCTTATTTCATAAGAATACTTATATACAAGTTTAATAGCTTTGAATAAAAGTTTTATTTTTATCTTTTTATGGTCAATCTGAGTTTTTATTAGGAGAGTTTCAAATACATACAAACAAAAAAGGCACCCAGTTCGCGGTCCCATGCAGACGTATAGGCCGGTAGGTCAGGGGAGACCAAGGAGGAGAGCACAGTGTATATAAGGGAGACAGTGTGAGGAGGCCAGGAGGAGTGTGGAGGAGGAGGAGTGTGTCAAAAGCCACTAGGATCCCCTGCAAAGCGGTCAGGTTCCGAGAACGAGGAGACGAAGGAGCGAACTGCCCCTCTGCCAACCAATTCCGGGGACCCGTAGCTAAGGGGGCAGTCAGCGGCAGGGGCTGGTCCCGTAGGGTTGAGATCACCCTCCCATGGGGTTCTCTCAGCCACCCCCCAAAGACGGAGCCAGTCAGCGCAGGGGGAAAAGCTGGATTGCCAAACGGGAGTCATCTGGCCAACGTAAGCGGAGAGGCCGTAGAGTTTTACATAACGGTCCCATAACTTCAGCGTGTGGGCGGTCAAGAGGGTGAGGGAGGAGGGCATCGGCCGGGACCCTGGGGGTACCCAGGGTAACGCCAGCAGGTCCTGTGTTGCGATGGCCTCCTCCAGACGGACCCATTGTTTGTCCGAGGCTCGGTGGAACCAGTCTACCATGCGCACCAGAACCGCAGAGGCGTGATAGAGGAAGATGTCTGGAGCACCTGCGCCCCCCCTTGCTTCGGCAGGGCCAACGTCCTATATCTGAGCCAGGGGCGGGAAGAGCCCCAGACGAACCCTGTGAAGACCTGTTGGACCCGCTTCAGGTAGGTAGAGGGGAGAGTAATGGGTAGGGCCTGGAATAGGTAGAGAAACCTGGGTACGATGTCCATTTTTAATACATTGATCCTGCCTAGCCAGGAGATGAGCTTGCGATCGTAAAGGGCGAGGTCATGGGTCACTCTCTCCAATAATGGGTCGAAATTCAGGGCTAGTAAATTTGCTGGGTCAGTCGGCAATGCTACGCCCAGATATTTGAGTGAGGTGGGGCAGATGCGGAAAGGGAAGCTATCTGACAGATGGCGTAAGACCCTCTACTCCAAAGACACGTTAAGAATCTCTGGCTTAGAGAGGTTAACTTGAAAGTTACTCAGGGAACTGAACTCCTGTAGTATAGTGGGCATGGCAATATGGGGGTGAGTGACTTATAGCAATAGATGATCTGCAAATAATGCGAGCTTGGGGTTATGTGTGCCCACTTGCAGGCTTTGAAAGGCGGAGTTCTGCCTGAGAGCCACTGCCAGATGTTCCATGGTAAGGATGTACAGGAGCGGGGATAACGGGCATCCTTGGCGTGTGCCATTTGGATATCCAGGAGCTTCGGGAGAGTGAGCCGTTCACCCGAACCCTAGCTGACGGGGATGAGTATAAGGCCATGATGTTGTTTAGCATGTTGGGGCGAATCCCGAGCTGTAGTAAGGAATGTCGGAGAAAGGTCCAGTCGGTCGAACGCCTTGTCGGCGTCCACCGAGAGGAGACATAGGGCTATTTTGGATAGCATGTTTTAATGGTATTGTCCCGGGCCTCCCGGCCCTGTACAAATCCCACCTGGTCCGGGTGAATTACCGCGGGAAGGAGCGGTTTCAGTCTGTTGGCAATCAGTTTGGCGAACAATTTCACATCCACGTTGAGGAGTGAGATCGGCCTGTAGTTCGTACACTGGGAATGGTCTTTGTCGGGTTTAGGGATCAGGGATATATGAGCTTCCAATGCCTGAGCCGGGAAGGAAGCTCCTCGGGCAAATTAGTTGAATACCCGAAGTAGGAAGGGGGCGAGCGTGTCCCGGAATTTGGAGTAGAACTTCACCGTAAAACCATCGGGCCCGCAGGCATCGATTTAAGGGCAAACAGCAACTCCTCACTGGTGAAGGGCGACTCCAAGGCCTCCAGGTCCACACTCTCCAGGGTTGGGAGGGCGCTCTCCTGGACATAGGAAGAAATATTCGCCTCACGGTCTGGAGCATGGGTATCTGCCCCCGGTAGATTATATAGGGAAGGATAGAAGTCTACAAAAGCTTGCTGGATCTCTGTATGAGAGCTCAGAAGGGTGCCCGACGGGGATTGGATGTGCGGGATGTACGCGGACGCAGACCGAGGGTGAAGAGTACGAGCCAGGCTTTTCCCACATTTGTCTCGGGACAGGTATGACTTGGCCGCCAGCTTGTCCGCATACTTGCGCGTGGAGAGGTCAAGAAGCCCTAAGAGCTTCACTCTGGCCTGGGAGGTACGTAACATGAGGTCCGAGGATGGGGAGCGCTTGTTTTGGACCTCCAGATCTGACGGTGTGAATCGCCTCCTCAATAGCCCGGGACCGCTCCCTTTTCATTCTGGAGACCTGCTGGATGAAAAGTCCCCGTAGTACTGCCTTCAAGGTCTCCCACTGGGTGGGGAGAGGGGTAGGATCCAAGGCATGGATGTGGAGGAATTGAGTAATCCCGTCCAGAATAGCAGCAGCACAGCTGGGGTCTGCTAGCAGGGACTCGTTGAGACGCCACGTCCACTCCCTGGTGGGCGCCTGCGGGACCTGCAGGGATAGCGTAACTGCTGCGTGATCTGATCAGATCATGGGGCCGATGTCACAGGAGGGGGCCCAGTCCAGTAAGGGATAGGACACAAAAAAGTAGTCCTGCCATAGGAGCGGTGGGGCGCAGAGAAATTAGTGTAGTTGCGTGCCCGGGATGCAGCACTCTCCACACATCGACCAGGCGGAGCTGTGTCGATGTTTTTTGACACTGCAGAGCTTGGGGAACGACAGAGCAGAGCGCCCGGTCGACGAATCCAGAGTCGGATCTATAGCGAGATTAAAGTCTCCCCCCCACTACCACCATGGCCTCCGCATAGCCCCCCCAAGACCTTCAGGAATTCAATAGTGGTGGCAGCTTGATTTGTGTTAGGGAGGTAAAAGTTGGCTACAGTGATAGTCTTACCCCAGAGTTTCAGCATAATGTACCTGCCAAATTTGTCAGTTCGGTAGTCCAACACCGTCGCAGGGAGGGACTTGTGAAGGGCGATGGAGACTCCCCTTGACTTTTGGATACTATTAGTGCTGTGGTATCATTTGGTGAAGTACCTATTGGCACATGAGGGGGCGTGACCTGTTTTGAAATGCGTCTCCTGGAGGAGCAACACGTTTACCTTGTGTTTGTGCATATGGTACAGTATCTGGCCTCGCTTAGAGGGGATGCTCAGGCACCGGGCGTTATAGGTCGGAGCTCCGTCTGGGTGGTCAGAGTCGGGGCCATGGCAGGGAGCGGGCGGACCGTAGGTATGGGGAGGGGGGAGGAAGGAGTGAACACGAAGGGGACCTGGTTGGTTGGGGGGGGGAGAGACGGGTAGGGCAGCAAGAGACAGTAGAGGGAAGGACAGGAGCAGAGAGCTGTGGGAAGGAACAGGTGAGGGGAGTAGAGACAGGAAACAATAACAAAAAAGGGCGGATATAACCCGCTACTTAATTAGTAAACCACTAGCTATTGCTAGATTTATGACAATCTCCAATGGGAGATGTACCACCTATGTGGGGGAAGGTGGTCTAGCATGTAAGTAGTGAGATGCCAACCGGGGCATCATCAAAGGTGACACATATACGTCACCGGCAGTTTCCATGGACCATGGGGGTGAACAAATATTAAAGGGCGAGCCCGCCCAAAGTCTAAGTGGCGCGTCAGGAGCCCCTCCCTGCCGCTCGCCCCCCCTCCCCCCC